ACAAACCCTCAAAGGCAAGAACAGTCTTACTGATTTTCAGGAACACCTAACAAAGTTCCAGGATGAAGACAAATTTGTGGCCTCAAAGAATTACCCACTTGTAAGAGCGAATATGCAGAATTAGGTAAATGATTTAACATAAAATACTGTGAAAACATAAATATGTCCAAAATGATTTAAACATTTAATATGAAACATTCATGGCATACAAAGACTAGATCACTGTTACTCAGAGTATGTTATTCACTGGAGACAGCTATGGGTCCACTGTGAGATCAGAACCAAAATAAAGAATAAGTATTTAGAAACTTTTATAGCAATGTGACACAGCTGATACATGCAAATGCACGATCAGTGGGCTTGTCTCACTGAAGAAGGTATAGGCTGATTAGGGTCTCATGGAACTTGTGTATAAGTGACACACAGGGCAAGAGCTGCAGGTGGGTCATTTTGCAATAGGACAATATTTGTCTGTGATAGACTGGAAACAGGAAGAAAAAAAAACACAAGGCTTTCGCAAGATAGTTTAAAAAGCAAAGGGAGTAAAATAAGAAATTCCATTGTACCAGAACCATTTTCTTCATATTTACCTTCTATATTCGCTTGAGACCTTTCCTCCCCATGATAAACAATTACAGATACAGCTGAAACCAACTCTATGTCCTTCCCCAACCCTTGTGTTCCCCTTCCTGCACCTATGTCATTTTTTAAATAGGCTACTGTCAAAGGAAAAGCAGAGCTAGATAGTAGAGATAAAAATATTTTTAAATCAAGACTACAGCAATGGGGAGAAAGAGATCTCAGTCAGGACCCCAGCCTCAATTCCAGACATAGCATGGGCAAGTGGGAATTTATAGCAAAAGAGCAGGATGGGAGTCAGTGAATGAAAATTATTAAGAGGAAAAACCACAGGCATGGGGAGATTCTGACTACACCATCCTAACAGAATTCTTGCTGAAGATAGGCCAAGATGATCAGACATCATCCCAGGGAGGATAAGGAACCCCATCAGATATTGAGGATGATCAGATATGAAGGATTGGGGTTCTGGCTAAATTGACTTAGCAGTGTTCTTGCTAAAATGAGATTCTATAAGGAAGTACACAGATGGGCCCTGCTGGGGACAGAGTTCGGGAGCCTGAATAAAGTTTAGTCAAGCAAAGAATCTCTGTGAGCACTACACCCTGTTTAGTAGAATGAAACTTTCCTGTTGAGGAGTAGGGTAATGTTTCCTTTCACCAAAAAAACACTAAAAATCAACAATGATAAATGCTAGTGTGAAGACTCTAGTAGATTAAATATTATGTGAAAACGTGCTGTGCCCCCTTATCTGTGACCCTTCAGCCATAACTGATACAACTAAACTCCTGAACTCCACATGAAAGGATCTCTGCTGCCTCAACCTTTACAGGGAGAAACACCTTACTGCAATGTCTGATATCTGGAAGAAAGGTTAAACAGTATGTTGTATGGCTGTAGAAAGAATAACTCAGACAACTGATTTATTACTAATAAAACAGACTAAGAGCAATGGGCTGATAAGACTTAACTACAAAGGATGCTTATTCCAATGCTAGAGGTTACCTTGGAGAAGACACACAGAGGGAAGAAATGCTTGCAGCAACAGGTGGAAAGCAATGGGCTTTCCATGGCTAATCAAATGGGCACATGCAATGCCAACATGCCTCCTGAAATTCAAACCTTCTATTTTTGCATTGCTGCCAACTCATTTCCAAAACATCCACTGCTAATCAAACTTGTGTGGCTGCAGCCTTATCGAAACTTCACAAAACTTTAATTTCAGCCTCATGAGCCCTGCAGCTGTAAATTAATTAAATGAAATTTACAAACATTATGCATTGAGATAAAGCACTTTCAAAGTCCTTTCCCTATTCAGTTGTCTTAGCTGCCTAGCATACCAGTCTTGCTTGACATGAGTTCAGAGCCCCTGGAAACCTTCCTAATCCTACTCTCTAGGCCTTGTGCCTATTCATGGAACCATGTTAACCCATATCCGGAAAATTAACAAACCTTAGATGGGTTTAAGCACTCAAAAGCCTCCTGATACTTCTTGCCATTCATTATATTGTAGACATCCTTTGCAATAGGAGAATCCTCCTCAAAAGACCACAACAGCAGCAGATAAAATCCCTGAGGTTATAAGCATACAACAAAAAGTCTAATTTAAGATTACTGCACACTAAAGCTGAAGCCGGGAATTAAATTTGCTGAAGGTGCAATTGCTTATGCCTTGCTTTAATACAGATAGTACCAAAACTGATTTCTGAACTTACCCATTTCACAAAGAGAGTGCAAAATTGTCATGGTTTTTAAAAAGCAAGGTGAGTGAAACTAATTGCTCCCATATCTGCCAACTGTACAAATGAGTCCACTATCAGTGGTTATATACATCACACTGACAGTGAGAGGACAGAAGACCATTAACTTTCTGAAATAAGAAGTCCTGATATACTCAGGTGCCATAAGTCACTGAGGATTTCCATCCTAAGTGAAAGAAGAATTGAAACATCTTCCCTTTGGTGGGTTTTCACAGCACAACTGCCACACCTTCCAGCTGACATCTAGTCTTTTACCTTCCCTTTTCATCAATTTTATCAGCATCTGGAAGCCCTCTGTTCTATGTGGAGCCATGGGGGCAATGGAGACAGTTTCAAAGCTTCTGTCTCATGTCAGAAAACCTGAGTCTAAAACAACCTCTAATATTAACTACTATGGGACTTGTATAGATTCCTTAAACTCTCTGAAACACTGTTTTCAACAGCAAAGTGAGGGGAAAAACAACTCTCAAGTAGGGTTGGTATGAATGTGAAATAAAAGAAAGTCATGCAAGAGTTGGGCACACAACAGGCCCTCAAAAAGAATTCTGCAATGTAAATGTATCTGTTTTTTCTTTCTTTAGAAAATAAACAGAAAATGGAGCCAACATATCTCACTGCAGATTGCTCTTTAAATATGTGACCTCATGCCAAAAGCAGACAAGTTCGCAAAGAGAGTATTTTTCTAATTTAATCACAGAAAAGACTAGAATATCAGGTAGTTGGTGGCTACAGAAGTGGCTGCTTCCCACTCAAGTAAGGAATGGATAGAATAAGTCCTTGAAGTAAACGCTCATGTTTTCCCTTAGTAATTCCAGACAGTGAGGAAATTAGCTCATTCAAACAAAGTTTATTAAATAAATAAAATCCCAGCACTTGTCTCTTTAGACAAAAAGCAGATGGAAACAATACAAAAGACTGCTAATGCTTTGGCCGAATCCCTCTTCCAAATGCCATTTACAAAAGCCCACCAGACCTCCAGCTGCGATGATGCCACGGGAACCCCGATGGCAATTATAAGTGTATTTAACTCAGGACCAGAAACGCCAGAGTAATTTTTTTTTCAGAGTAATTTTTATAGACCAAAAAACTTCCAAATAAATAAATCTAGAAAGGAATTAGTGTTTATACCACAGAGACAGGTTCAAACAGCCAAATTTGAAGAAAAAACATATATGTATATGTCTACTTAATCACGTAATCTCTGAACAATAATAACTTTATTGAGTTGTCACTAAGGAAAGAGCAAAATCTTTAAAAGAGCATTAAGAGATTATACCCTCCCATAATTAACATTCCCAAAATCCATCCAGTCTCTCAAGCTCATCCTCTTCAACAATCTTTGCTTGACTGAGTTCCAGATCTACCTCTTAAACACCATTCAAATTGATTCTGACATCACAATCACTGCCTGCTTCCCAATACTTACTTGCCCTATACCCTTCTATTATAAATGCTTCCCAATCAGCCTCCCCACTTTTCATTCTATTCACCACTTAGTTACTAGAATATTTTTCTCAACCACGAATCTGACTTCATTCCTTTTCTTTAAAACCTTCTGTAGCTCCTGTTGGGTATAGGGTAAAGGTCAGACAACTTAGTATAGCCCAGCTTAGTCCAGCTAGCAAAGCAAATACTAGCTTTATTTCCCACAAGCAACCTACGACAAAGACAACACACTGAACTCAGTATTTGCAGACCACCATCCTCCCTCAGGCCTCCACTGCTTTGCACAAGCTGTTCTCTTTCTCAGAAGGTCCTTTCCCCTTCTCCAGTTGGTGCAGCCAATTCTTCCTCTTCCTTCTAATGCACCATCTTCTGTGCAGTCTTCTTTGCCTCTAGGTAGGGTTACATCTTTGCTCTGTGTCTCTATAACACTATTCATACACCATGAAACTGAACTCATTATATATTGGTATGATTTTATTTGTCTTTTTTCTTCCTAGACTGTAAGCTCCTGGAGTTCAGGTACCATTTCTTAATCACCTTTCAGAACCTACCATAATGAATGACACAAAGACTGCATTTCATAAAAATTCGATGAACGAAACACTCTAAATGCAACTCTAATAAAATTACTGCCTATTTGACTGGAGCTGTACCATGTTACAAAGGTAAAAATATATTTAGTCTTAATAAAGAAATACTGTCATAGTCCTGGAAACAGCCCACATACAATATTTTTTATAAATGGATCCCTTACCATTCAACTATACAAATTTACTTAAGAGTAGCCCTACAGCAGTCACTTTGCAGTTTGCAATTCATTTCAGGTTTGAAGCTAGCTCAAGGGAAAACAACATTAGTATTAACAAACTTATTTTTAAGTTTAAGATCAGATTTTAAGGAAAAACAAATAAATAAAGTATGTTCCAAGAGTCTAAAGGAATAAAAAAAAAAAAAAAAACTGCCCCCTGTAGCTATAATTTCTTTACGGACGAGAAACCCTTAATTGCTTGCTGGCTTCCAAGAAACCCATTAACCTACATTTAAAACCTCAGCTTTCATCAAGAACAGCCTCACACATCCTGCTCTCATGGGACAAGAAATAGAACCCTCTGACCTAGTTCTCAATTATTACCAAACTACAGATGACCAATCTCCTGGTCTCCAGGTCTCTCTATTTTACTGAAATAAATTCCTTCCGGAGCTACAGGTACCTACCATGGGGCTGTGCAGGTGGAAAGCAGCCCAGTCTTACTGTGAGGATGTCAGTCTGCCATCTGAGAACAAGGAGGAAGAAGCAGAGAACTGGCCAAGACGTCAGAGTAAGTGAGTCCTTTTTGCAGGCTCCCAGGAGCCCCCATCATGTTACAGGAAGACAGAATTATTTGAGATAAGGATAGGAGATGAAATAAGCAGTAGTAATATTGGTTAAAAGTTGGTGCTTCAGTCGCAGCCACAATAGATAATGTCTCTTCAGTTATAAATCCAAGCTATTTCTCATTTGGCAACGTACACTTATACCAAAACTGGCAAACTCTTGGAAGTGGCAGACCTCGGCAACAAGTGAACAGAATCTGTGAACTACAGCACATGCCACTGAGTAAGGGCTGTACATCTAGAAATAAGAATTAGGTTCTTTCTTGGCTCAGCATCTAACTAGATGTGTGGTCTTAGACAAGTCATTTAGCCATTGGGGATTCAGTCTCCTCATCTGCAATGACTTCAATTAGATGATCTCTTAGGTCCCTAAGGTCCCTACAGTTAGGTCCAGGATCAGATTCCAGCCTAGGCAGACATCCATTGGGAGTGGGTGGATGAATGCAGATAGCTGAAAGAACACTCAGGGAGCCATAGGTAGGTGAAACACAGTTTTATTCAGCAGCTCTCTAGCACAGTTTGTCTCTGTCTCAACTGTCTGCTCCAGCCACTCCATGCACAGCTGCTCTGCTGGCTCTCCCTTTGGGATCAGCAGCTTAACTCTTTCCCTCTGGGCACAAGCAAGCTGAGCTGTGTCCTGGCTCCCCGCTGCAAGATGAACAGATCTGGCTCTCTCTTTCTTTGGGTGCAAGTGTGCCTGTACAGTGCCACCAGGGCAATTACACCTTTTACAGACAATAGTGGCGTAGAGCCAAGTTACGGCCTTCCCATGTTATGGCTACATAGCTGTGTTTATATTATATTTGGAGTTGTGCGCCTATGCTACAAACTCTCTGAGTCACCCAGGATGTTTACCTCAGCCTATCCTGCCTGGCTGCAGTGCAGCCATGTTCCTTATACCTATTAATTCAAAAGTACTATAATTCCATGTTAAGGTTTCTAAACCATGAATATTAATATAATTTAGGATTTTATATATTTCTCATTTAAATTTAGGAGAAAACTCTTCATTAGGACATCTCTGCTTTCATTGCCCATAAGATAAATCACCAAATCCTTGTGCAAAGAGAAACAAATATAAACTACGTTGGAAATGACAAGTGAGCCTTACCAAGGACCCTGACCCATGCATAACATCTTAGTATAGCATATGTATATAGTATATAACAGAAACATGCCGTGGGCTTTCAAATCCTCTGCAAGAGCTCATTATAAGTTGCATGCCCCAAAGAAGGCAACTCACATACTTATGTTTTTCCAAATAGAATCCACGTGCTTTCAAACCAGTGATGCTCTCCAAGGGATCCCATATGGCACTTGGTCTTGCCAGTGCCAACTTCAGTTCTACTAAACTTAATGCCCTCTTATTTTGACTCAAGAATAAATTATCTCACTGGCTACTCACGTGGTCCAGTATGGCAAAATAAAAAGCCACACTGAGCAAGCAGTGGTTCTTTCCACGTTATACAAGCAAGAAATGCCTATGAAGACAGACTTGAGCACAGTCTGAAGAGTCTTTTGCTTTGCCTTAACACTCTTCTTCCGGATATCTTTGCTGAAAAAGAAGTCTACTCAAGGTATGTGTCTTTCCTCTGTATGAGCTCTTTGGCCTCAGGAGGCCTGGTTTCATTCATGTGGTAATGTTTTTACACAGCTTAATACTAAACTATAAGATCCTGCCTTCTGGACTCCTACAAGGGCATGCCAAAGTCCCCCCAAATCACCAAAGCACTGTACGTCCCCTTTGCATCCCACAGCATTCTGCTAGTTTATGTAATACCACAATGACAGTTATCTGGAGTGGACCAACGACAGTGCTTTCTCCCAGACTACTTCACCATGTGAAGTAAACGGTACAGTCAGCAGTAAGTCTGCTCGGTCTATGGCTAATACAAGACCTTGCTTATGACACACTTCCAGAGCTGCTTATTGTTCAACTGTTAATTCATACAGACTGCACAGAAATTCATTTTGAAGCAACATTACTTGTTTTACATTATGCTTAACCTTGAAAAGGATTCTAGTTTTTCAGTGAGGGATGCTTATCCTGGATAGATGCATACTCCCTACAAACATGAAACTGGTAAGTTCACTAAAGATTTCTCAAGAGCCACCAAGCTAGCAAAAGTAGCAACCAAATTATATTCTATACTCTGCCCTTCACAGCAACCTTCTTAATGCTGAAGTGTTTAATTCATAGAATGACTGACTTATTTTCAATAGATTAAGGCTGTACTGCATATTGTAACTCTCTCCAAATCTATACTTTGAGATAATTTCTTCAAAAGTTAAGAGCAATCACCACTCAGAAGAGGAAGCCATCCATTTTCCTGAGGCTGTCAAAATTTGAGCTGTTTCCCATTGGATTTCCACTGACAGTTATGAAAAAATTCAGAATCTGTCAATTTTGGAA